CTTTTCCTTCTCATTTAATTCCTCATTAAAAGACCAGAGTGAGAAACTGGGACTTTATTTAGGGTCTTACTGTGACAATCACTTTCACAGGCTTTCTACTTCAAAACTCTTTTTTTCAAGAGTAAATGATTGTTACATGAAACATTTGTATTTGGGATATAAGTTGGTTATTTCCTTTTTTCAGAGTTGATATGAAAAAGTAATTAAAATAGAGTATATCTTTATTATTGTTTAGTTAAATTGCAGTAAAATTATTTAAATATATGAGAATACACTTTCTATTGACTTATTGCTTACAATTTATCTTCAGCTCAACTTCATCAGTTTTTAATTTTGCATGTGCGTAATTATTTGCAGCAGAGTAGCTATGCCCTATCTTCGAACATATTTTGTTTGTGATTTTTTTACGTAGACTTTAAAAGCTCAGTCAAGAAGTAAGAAAGAAGAATAAGAAATAATAATTCATTAAAAAAATTGCAGAATCTAAACTGTTCAGGTTTTATCATACCATTTAGGGTCACCTATCTTTTCTGGTCCAGAGTAAACAACACGTCCTTGTCTTTCTACCTGCACCTTTTTTCCTTCCTTCCTTCTTTCTATTTCTTCTGCTACTGCCTAACCTTATAGTTTAGCTTTCAAGGCAACTCCATAATAATTTCTCTCTTGTATTCTGGAAAATAAATTTAATTTAGACAGAAAGACAGTTAAGTCTTTCTCTCTGTATTGAAATGATAAACATGAAAAGACAAAAGTGGATATTCTGTAGAATGGGGTAAATACAGGATTAGAGGTGGAAGCAATACGGACTATAAAAAAACCCCAAATCTTTATATTTGCTAATGTTCATTAAAATAATATTTGTTTTCTTATGATTTTTTTCTTTCTTTATATGTGACTGTTAATTATAAAGATAAGAAAATGATTGGGAGGAAACTAAATGATAGAGTGTTAGAAATGCAAAATGATTCAAAATATTAATGTAATGCTAAGGATGACTGGGTAACAAATGGTACATTTGCCAGTATGCTTGACCTGACACAATTAATATTCCAGGTCATGCTTGGGTTTCCATGATGGAAGGTCTGAGGCAGGGAATTCTAGGGGAAAATATATCTATTGTGTAGCCCATTTCTCTCTCTCTCTCTTTTTTTCTTTTTAAATTTTTTTTTTATTATTATTTTCCCTGACGAGTCAGAACCATAGTCTTAAAAAAAATATATCTCTACTTTCACACCTCATTTGCCATATTCACCACTGGGCCACCATTCACCAGAAGGGCCTGATGCAAGGAGGTCAGGAAGAAGCTATTAGCAGAGTCCCCTCCTGAGATTTCTTTGGTCTTATTGAGGTGGAAGTTAGCATGACAGTACTGCAAATAAGTCGGTTGCAAGTTTTTTAACAGTTAGCGCAGATTTCCCCATAGTGTTTGTCACTTTAGAAAATTGTTCCTAGAAATGGTATCCCAAAAGCTGGCTTTGACAGAGTCCCTTCTGAGTGTTGAAGAGCATGGTACAGAAAAATGTCATCCTCCCTGAGACAAGAGGTACTTTTTGTAATCTGTGATAATATTTTGGAGGTTTACGCGTATTTTCTTATGAACTAAAGGTGGGAAAGTATTGAAATCATATTTTGAGGTAATATCTCAAGACAGATACTTTTCTACCACTGAAAAAAAGCAGTATTAAGTACAATGGTTTTGTAGTTGAGAGAATATTGCATTAAAGTAGGGAAAAAGTTAAGTAATGCTTTTCATACATTGCACTTGTCTCAAGAAGATATGCAGATGTATTAAGTACCAAAAGCTTTGATCCTCCTGATTCTTAGATTTCTGCAGACTGCCAGCTCCCTGCAGAGGATAGAGTGAATAGGGCATTCATCACCACACTGCACAGGTGCAAGAAATTCCAAAATTAAGATTAAGATTTGCAGAGATATTTTAGTGGAAGCAATTTTTCCGGAGGTTAATCTGAGCTGGAAACTAGAATCCAACTCCTCCTCTTGTCTCTCCTACCAAACTTTGCGAATTTTGCATTTAGGCCTACCATTACCACAAACTTCGGGGAAGTTAAAGTAAATTAGTATTAATTTTATCTGTCTAGATACTAACTCTGCTGGTTTCTCTGCTGTCTTGTTGAATACTTAAACATATAAAATTGAAATGTAAAATAATTATCAAGGATTGCTTGAAAAATTATTATTTAAAGATGTGCTTCATAATCAATTTTGACCCACATCTTGCAGTTTCAACTGTAGAAGAAGCAAGAATGTTTCCAGCTGGCCTCACTTATCTCCACATTCATTTTTATAGTTGATACACTATCTGTATGTGTTTTATCTGACAGTAAGTAAAAAAAGCGCAACAATAGATGACTCTTGGTTAAGACACTTTTTCAGCAATAATAAGTCAAAAGACATTGAATCAATGGATTTCTGCATCTATTATAGCTAATTTTGGTTTCATTAAAAGTGGTAAAAGCCAATCCTATTAGTGCATCTTGAGATATTCAGTAGCATTTCACAGGGTTTGAACCTTTTATGAACTACAGCTTTTTGTTACTGCCAAACATTTAATCAGAGGAATACAAAGTAGAATATACATAGTATCTCAACACAGATTTTAAAATGCAGTTTCAGAAAGCCCTTATATTCATGGAGACATATACTAGCTCTCAATGTGACTAAAAGAAGCAACACCATTTCCTAGAGCCCAGACAGTGCATCAATTTAAAGTTATTGCATGTAATTCTACAGAGGAAAAACATTTAAATTATTTAACACATTGTATTTTTCCACCTGGGAGAAACAAAACCAAAAAACAAACCTGAGCTAACTAGATCAAAATAATCTAGTATTTTTTTGGTTAAAAAAAGATGAAAAGGCTTCCTCCTCAGTTTGCTCCTCAGCTTAAAAAGGGGTGTAAATTTTGGGCAGATTCTACCCTGGTCAAGATTTGCTACTGATCAACAAATGCGTGCCTGCCAACTCCAGAGACTCGTTACCATGCCATAGTGGTGTGTTACAGATCACCCTGATTCTCAGTTATGCACATGAAGATGTTTTTCTTCTGGATAATGTTTACATTTTCAGTGACGTTGTCAGAATTTAGGCAGATCCAATGGCCACTCACTAATGAGTGAAGGGATGTAGTGACCATGGCATAAGATGGTTTGTGTAACTTCAGCATGGAATCTATTTGGTATGAATCTGATATATTCTGTTTGTATGAAACTTGTATTGACTGTGGCATTTTATATTTGAGGGAACTTGTGTAACAATATATAGTGTAAATATATTCAATAATTGTGGGATGGTACAATAAAGTCAAGACAACATATGGAGCTTGTGTTTATGTAGCACATACTAGTCACCAAGTGTTCACAAGCAAAACCCAGTACTAGGCTGATAAGAAGATTGCAGTTTGATGGTGTATGAACTACTGAAAAAATAATAGCGGCATTAGGAGGATCTGTAACTTTATGGGATGTTTATGTGAGTAAGAGCCAGACTTGCAGAACCAAAGATTAAGATGCAGCTGGACTTTACAGATCACACAGATGGATCTGCAATTTCACATTCACTCCAGTGATTCTGCTTGCCTGCTGTTTGAAGCATGGATCCCTGCCATTTTAGTTTGGCATCCTGAAGAGCTGAATGAACAATCAGTGGGTGCTTGGCATACATATGTTTCTACCACTTATCTCTGTTCATGTCCTCTTTCCCATTATACATTTAGACCATTAGTATAATAGTTTGTAGGGTTTGCATTAAGAGGGGAACATACAACAGAGCACCAAAGTAAATTGTCATTAGAGCCAGATCACTTACAGAGTTGAAGAATATAGCCCATAAAATTTTGAATAGCCCAACAGTATGTTGAATAAGCTACCATCTCTGAATATTCTAGTGCATTAAACACTGTGTTTCATATATGCCTTATTTAACTGTTTTGACACAAGAAACTGGAACTTCCCAGTAGGATATATTAATGAAAAATGCATTAGAGCTAATTGGGAAGTGTTCAATCTTCTCAACCTCAAGAGATTAATACTTTATGAGAAGGCTGACGCCCTACATAGTTTTCTCATGGGTCCTCTGTAGCGTTCCAAAGGAGCAAGACAAGATTTTAAACATTTACTCTTTTCCTTAACTTTTCCTGCATCATGAAACCGATTTCTTTTCCCTATTTTTATTCAATATTTCTTAGCATTTAGAATTAGGATAAAAGCAAAGGATAATATATTTTAACTGAGAAAATCTACTTTAAAAGTCTTAAGAATACTCCGAATATACTATTGTAGAAAATATAATTATTCTTAAAGCTACTAGTATCTTTTAATTTCTTTTTGCCAGGTGTATTTTAAGCATATGTTATCTGTTTATAGAAGATTTAATGGCTTTGTGCAATAAGGAATAGGAATTCTCATGTTTAACAGTTCATAATTAATTCACTAAACTCACATATGTCTATTTGGGAATTGTTTATATACAATTGATAAAATACCTACATTTATAGGAATGATTTGGGAACAGTCTGTCACATAATTTTGACTTGCCAGATATTCACAGATTGTTAATGATGTAGATTACTAGATCAGAATTTGAAATGTGTGCTTCGTATTAGTCATTGTTATATTAGATCACACTAGTGATTCATTTAATGATGTATCCTGAAAAAAATTAAATATCAAATTCAGTAAAGAATGAATCTTTCCACTTAATACACAATTCAGAAATTCTTATGCTAAATTTTGGGGTTTTACAAGTTTTATACTATTAAAACTAAACAAATTTGAATAGTTATAGGAATTAATTGTGGACATATTGTTGGGGAAAAAAGCGAATATTGAGTTTTGGTATCCCATAAATTTTCTTCTATTTCTCCTTGACTAATGACTGTTTTACTTTTAAAAATGCTGCAGGTGCCACTTCCTATTTTTGTTCCTATTGTGTATTTGAATCTAAATAAGCTGAAATTAACGGTCACCCCATCTTCTGCTCAGATTGCAGGCATCTACAATTCACCATTCAGAAAATCCCCAGACCCAATGGAACTGCTGCTAAGAAATTCAAAGCCACTGAGCCACAGAAAGAAGCAAGTGAAAAGTCCCTTTGCCTATGAGCTCTATGACTGGCCAACTTGTAAAAAGCCCCCAGCTTTCGTCGCAGCACTGCCTCTGCCACCTATTGGCAGACAGAAACCTCAGGTAACATTTTTCAGTGTCTCTGAGGCAGCTTTTTTTCACATCTTTTATCACAGATTATCTCAAGTTAAATAATCAGGTCCAAAAATCCCTTTTGTGGATTTTTTTTGTTAGTTAGTTTTTGAGTTTGGTTTTTTTTTGTCATATAGGTCTAGTGCTTTCATGTAGGATATAAAGTCTTTGACAGAGATTTGACTTAAAGAGAAAGAAATCTAGGTGATATTTAAAAACAGGGAAATATGATTCTTTAGATGTTGCTTTTTTCCTTTGGAGAAAAAAGTGTAATTCCCGATATTTCAAAGGTATGACCTCATATAATTGAGTATAAATATTATGATTCATTAGAAATCATAATTTCCAATTTTAAATCATTAAGAAATAGGAGAAACGAAAGGTTATAGGACAAATTACCCAGTTGCAATAAATTTTTCCTCAATTTGCAATTGCTTTCCATAAGAAGACTAAGAGAGGTGCTCTCAGTTCAAAATAGTTCCTGCTCTTTTTGTCCACTAAGTGTGTGTCAGCTTTAATTACAAAAATTTCTACATTTTGTTCTCCATCACAGCCAAGTTGCCCAGCTCGCATTCCATGGTCTCAATATTAATTTTAGTTGATGTCAGCATGTGTTGCAGATAGCTCTTTCTTCCTGTTCTATAAAGTAATGGATGTCTCTGAGATAGTGCATCAAAGGGAATGTCTCACAAGTTGACAAAACAGCTTTTGTCACCTTATTATCAAAATCTGCTGGGAATGTGCCCAATATACACAGCAGACAAACTTTTGAAACCTTTATGCTCCTCAGGCAAGTAGTGACAAGACAAAAGGAGCATAGCCTCAAACTGCACCAGGGGAGGTTCAGGTGGGACATCAGGAAGAATTTTTTCACTGAAAGGGTAGTCAGGCATTGGAATGGGCTACTTAAAGAGGTGATGGAGTCACCCATCCCTGAAAGTGCTCAAGAAATGAGTGGATGTGGCACTTAGTGTTATGATTTAGTTGACAAGGTGGTGTTCAGCCAAAGGTTGGACTCAATGATCTTGAAGGTCTTTTCCAATCTTTATGATTCTATGATTCTAAGAAGATGCAGACCTGTGAGAATACCTCTGGAGAAGTATGAGCACAGACATCCACACTGCTTGTAAAGTAAGAATCAACTTAAGAGCAGTTCTCCCCTTTTGTCCTTCCCTCCTTATGTTCTCCCTACTTTGACTGCTTGAGCTTCTTCATAGAATGAACTCATTCAGTCACTTTAGAATTGAGACAAAGTGTGAGCCACTAAGCAGTTTGGGTGATCAGGGAGTTTGGAGTTGAGATAAAAATGACATTATAGCTTTACCTTCTGGGACCAAAGGGGCTGTGACAGTCCTTGAGCAGGACATGACTGAATGCATTGTCTCTCAGGACAGAGGGAAAGATTTTGCCTAGTGGGCATGATACAGGAATCATGCTTTTAGATAACTGGGTAACTCAAGAGTTTTCCATTGTTAAGGTGCTCTTGCAAAACCACTTTACTGTGTACAAAGTTTCTTACAAGCTTCTGCACAGATTTGGAATATTTTACAGACCTTTCTAAGTTCAGACTCACGCACAGCAGTCTTGCACAGATAGCCTTTTAGAACAAACCAGAAGAGTTCTGTTTATTTTCTGCACCTCAAAGAGGGAATTTACTATATAATACTTTAATCCTTTCAGCACCCTGGGATGTACACTGTGGGGTAAATTTTCAAAGCACAGCGCGTGGATTTAGCTGCGCGACTCTTATTGATGTTAATGGGAGTCACACGGCTAAATCCCTGCACAACACTTTGACAATTTAGGGTTGTATGTCTAAGAAAAGGACACTGGTTTGAGCTGATGAAACAGCTGGAAACGAAAACGCATCAGAACACACCATCCTGAAAGTTGTCTGGTGTGACAATAGGAAATTTAATTACTAGATATACTTGTGTCCTAGTTCTCTGTGGTAACACTTTTTGGCACCAAGCTTCTTTTTCTAATATCAATCTGGCTCACTCTGAGTCACAAGTTACTTTCTTTCAGGTATCTAAAATTTTTATTGCTCATATGTTTTGATATTTTTTATGAGGATGTCAATTATATGTGTTTAAAAAACCCAAACTATCTTTCAGTTTTCTCTTAGGGAAATGGGTATGTAGCATTTTATAGGTAAGCTTTGTGTGTGTAAGATAGTGTATTTAAAAGAAATGTTTTAATGATGCTTATACCTTGGTTAGATCTATCATTTTTATTACTGAGTTCACTAGAATTACAGTTTCATAAAAACACTGATAATGCTAAAATTAGTCATATATTCATTAAAAAGCATTAATAACAAAAAGCACAGTACCATTTTTAGGAGATTTTCTGCATGCTATTAGGTGTTCTGCAGTGGAGAACAATGAAGAATGCATAATTTCATGAAGATCATATTTTTTATCATGAGTTCCTGATTTTATGATAAAGTAGTAAGAATGCTGATCTGCTAACCTTTATTTGGCAGACCAATTGCTATCAAGAAGATTTATGCTACTCAGCACAAATTCCAAATAGAGCTGTGTGAGTTGCTTTCAGGGTGAAAACTGTTGGTTGCCTCCTTTCCTACCATGATCTCCCCAGGAAGATTTCTGTTTTGAAGCAAGATGCCTGAAATGCTTGCAAGCATTGTCAATTTGAAAATGTTTTTAAGCACCGTTCTACTGCAGCTTCCACAAATCCTAAAGTTAAACTTGTAAAATGAAAATAGGTAAATGGATTTTTTAGAGATCTTGTCATTTAAGATACATTCCTTAGGTGCCTATTGCTAGGTAAGTTTCTTCAAATAGATGAATCAGAGAAATGGATAATTGTGCAGGGAATATTTAGAATTATGTCAGTATTCTAATATATGTATACCCTGCTTTCATTAGTGATGACACAGCTTTGTTTGAGGGACCTTTTCTTAATTACAATCTTTCCCCCCTCCTTCCATTAGTAGTTGTAGTTTTACTTGGACTATGGACTGATGTTTGGTTTTGGTCATCTAACCCCTAATTAGGTCTTAGAAATTAAAGATGGAGAAAAGCTCTTGCTTGGATGTCTGATTTGGCCCTTATCCTGGTGGAATATGAGTAAATATTTTGCAGTGAAGAAAAGATGCAATATTCTGAAAGACTACATTTAGAAGCAAACATATTTATCTTGATATTGTTTGATAATAGTACTTTTCTTTCTTCTTTCCTCCATAAACCATCTTAATGCAAACATCTTGCAATAAAGAGCATTCCTTTTTAATAATAAATTTTAGACTTTTTTATAACTTGATCATCAGATTATGTATTACTAGGTAATGCTACTACTAGGTTTAGTGACCTGTTCTCGTATTGACTGTTCTCACAGGAGGTAACATTTTCATTCTGTTTTTAAAGACTTATTGTTTTCTTTTTAGATGAATGTATTTTTTCACCCAGATTTAGAAAGCAAAAACAAGAGGATATCTGCCAGAAGTGTAAATATTATGTTTATTTTCTTACTGGGACCATTTAAAAGATCTCAAAATCTTGGTGCTGTGCCTTTAAAAAGTAAAGTTCCAATAAAAATCCATTAACTAGTTTCAAATATAGCAATCCTCCTGTCCAACTGTGAAAAGTACTAGATGATACTTATTTGCCATTTGTGTTATTTACGGTCCATGACTTTTATGGTAACTGGTTCCTATTATTGGTTTCTATTAATGTAAAACATAAGTGAACATAAATGAGGCGTGAATCATTTCTTTTTATTAGCCCCACAGTCTTCACTCAGTGCTTGCAGTAACTCCAGCTGTGACTTGTTAGTGATAACCTATTTAAAGAAGGATATCTTTAAGAATAAAGGCTGTGATTAGGATTCTTTGTCTGTTCATAGTTTCAGAAGGTTTCACTAGTTCATTGCAAGATCAAGACTGATGAAAATAAAAATTAATTAGTAATACTTCTAAATCCAGGGTTGCCACTAAACTGTCCTGAGTGTAACGTGGCACTAATTATACTTCAGGTAAGTTCTTACAGGTTAATACATAAAAGCAAGATATATAGGATATGTCACTTCAGCAGCTCAGGAGAGGACTTCCTGCTGCTATTTATCCATGTTGTTAAATGGCAGGTGCTGATATAATCAGTTATTAAACAATACACTCTGGAAAAAGACATATATGTGTATTTTTTAAGAATAATGAAATTAATTTGGGATTGGACTTTTCAAAAATGGACTATAGACCTGTATTATTGAAGTCATTAGTTTGAATTGTATTAGAAGAATTATATCTTAAGTCATGTATTAAGTTCCCTTACAGGTAGCTTTATAGTTAAATTGAAAAGAGTATGTTCTTTAAGGTCAAATATTATTTGTCCTGTAGAAAGAAAAAGACTTATGCTATCTGCTTAAGCAGAATCTAGATACAGCTAATACTTGTGTATCAGATTTTATTTCACTGATATTTTTTCCTAAGAAAAAACTAAGTTTTCCTAATCAATTCTAACAACATATTTTTTAAAAATAGTAATTGTTTATTAGTAGTTAAATAAATTTGTAATGCACATTTCTCATTCTCTCTTTGGAGCTTCAGAGTACGTTATCAACCTTTGTGTTATGTGTAAGTCTCTATCAAAATGAACTGCTTTAATTATTTTAGAAGAAAAGTCTCACTACACTTCCCAGACATTCAGTGTCCTCTTTCAATCAGTGATGTGCCATGAATAAAAGACAGAAAGAAAAGAACTGTAAGCCCACAATAAAACACTTACATTATCCTACACCTTTCAGGGGCCTTTCCGTGATACTGCTGAAGTATTGTGGCAGCGCTACAAGCCTTTAGAACCAACCTTGCGAGTGGCAGAATCAATCAATTCACCACTGGAGAAGGCCAGAGAGGGAATAAAAAGGGAGGAATGGAGAAATCCTATACATGACAATGAGTAAGTTCTTTGTTTTTTTCTTATATTGTTATGAGAATGTTTTCTTTATTCCATTGCTTTCAGAAACCTTTCATACCTGACAAAATGAAATGTCAAACCTGACAGCTTACTAGCAAACATTCTATGTACATACTTCTAAATTCTGTGTCCTTAGATTATAAACTACTCAGGGCAGAGACCCTATCTTGTAATTGTGTGACATGTGCCATCCATATCTATGAATCTATAGAAGAACTTGTGTAGTAATATGTGATGCAACAGATTCATTTAATGGGAAATAAGAAAACAAATGCAAATTCTGTTTTGCCACATGCACCTTGCCAAGGAAAAGATACTGTTTCGGTCTCCGTATTCAGGAAGCTTAGTGGTTATGGGAGGCAAAAATGGTGTTGCATGCCAATGAGACTTGTTTTCTCTCCCAGTAGAGTACCCCAGCTCACTTGGAAGGGGAGGGAACATATGTCGCACATGTTAGGACATGATACAAAAACTGTAATCATCTTTGAAGCAGTTTGATTTCCTAAGCCATAGCATCTGTAATAGTGTCAGACAGGCCAGTTCTTTTCCATAAAAATCCCAAATACAGACATAATCCATCCCAAATGATTAAGGCTTCTATCCCAAAAGACTTAAGGCTATTGCCAAAATATTCCCAGTTTTCTTTTATGGTGATGGAACTCTTTTGTCCAATCATAATAAAAGCCTGCTAAATCATCTTCTCTGGCTTTGTAGTCAATAAATTACGTTTTGTGAACTTTTCCCTTGAATTCACTGCTCTTGGCAATCCTTTGGCCCTTTATTACCAAAATTCAGGATAGAAAGGAACCACTTTTCCTCGTGAGCAGCCTGTGATCCACTGATTCACTGGCACAAGATGCTTTGCTATCTTTGATCTGTTTCATGCTTTTTTGTCAGCTCCATATTGCTAAGTGTCATCTTCAGGACTGGAACTTAACAATACCAGAAACAATTTGCATTTACATGGTTTACCTTCTATGTTTTTATTAGAGCATGATTTTCCCCAATTTAATATTATTAGTGTATTTGAATGAAAATTCTACTCAAAAGTAGTTTTGAAAGAAAAAAAATCTCTTGTTTTGGCTACTTTTTCACTTTCAGGCAATGTTTTTTGCTTATGGTGTTTTGGTTTTCTTTTTAAAAATATTTGGTGTCAAAACCTAGCTATAAAACTTTTTATTTCTTTCATACCAAAACATAACTGAGTTCACTTACAAGTAAAAGTGTACTTCCTTTTTCTATTCCTCTCTGTATTCGTTCATTCTTTTCACTTGGGTGAGGAGGAAGCAATTTAACTTTCACATCTCAGCTTAAATCAGTTCTTTTTTTTTTTTATTTATTTTTATATCTAGCTCCTGCCAGTGAAATTTAAAAGAATGCAAACTACTAGGTAGTAATTAATATTCTCCTTTGAAGTGGGTTTTATTCACTGAATAAGTTTTGACTTATGCATTCCAAGGGAGGATGGATGATGTCCTCCATTTATAGGCATGACTATATTGCTCAGTCTCTATTTGATGAACTTTACCCCAGACATCACTGTGTCAACAGTTTCAGAAGGTCAGATCTTTTAATAAATACTTCACTGACCCTTCAGTAAGTGAATTGTGAAGCTTTGGTCTTGTACAGTCTAAATTTGGAGCCTCCAACTTTGACAGATTTTACATGATATGCGATCTTTATCTACCTTTTGGGTAAGGAAGCATTTAATGCCATCCTTAATGCACAGAAGCAATGTCCTAACAATCAATGATTCTCAGCTTCATGCACACTAAATGCATAGTGTATTATACATTTTCAGGCTGTGATCATTCCGTTTGTGCTTCATATTCAACCAACCATGCAAGGGTCACATCTGTAACCTTGAAAAGGTGATGACAGAGTTGCAGGTCATCATCAGGACTAATGCTCACTAGTAATGCTGCAGCTGCTGTGTGGGATGTTGGTCTCCAGGGAGGAGTCAGCAAAGGGTTACTCAGATTCTTCAGTATTTTTTTCTCAGCACTGTCTATTATGAATTGACAAATTTCTGTCTTCTTCTATGTAATTGTGTACTTTGGGACTTTATTTCTTCCTAGTAGTGCTTCCTATGCTGATTATTCTTCTATTTTAGAAAATAAGGAGAGAATGAGCAGCAAAAGTACATGGCATTTGTTGAGAAAGCTTTTGTTTGCATGAAATGTCAAACTAAATCCTTGATACATATATTTCCAGAGTGAATATTGTCAGAATGCTTGTTGATATGTATCTGTGATTTCAAAAACATTCAGAATTCCCACACACCTCTGATTATCGGGGTTCTTTAAAGTGGTTTTTATAGGATGGTAGGATGAGTGTCTCAAGCTCCAAGAAACTTTGTCCTTCTGATAAAATGCAGAAAAATTTGGAAAAGCTGTGAGAGTTTGAGGCAGGCAGAAGCAGAACAAACAAAACCAAGAGAGAATGCTGTGCTTACATAAAGCAACTGCTGGAATTTCCTATTCTGTAATGAAAGAGCAACGGGGTAATCTAGCCTAATAAGAATGATTCCTTTTTCTCGTGTAATTGAAGCTGCTACTGCCTTATTGTGCTATTTTTCATACAAATGAAGTGATTTCCCCCTCCACTTGGATAGGAATGACAATTGTACTCCTTTGGGATGGCCACTTAATAAACTAGTGTCTAGTTTGAGACACCAACTGCTGGATCCAGCAGATTTAGATCACTAAGCATGAAAAGTTCTTTACTCAGTTGCATGCAGCTGCATGCTGGCCTAATTTTCCAGAGAACAAAAAAGTAAATTATTTTCATTAACTTTGCTGAAATCTGTCTCATGCAATATGCCTCATCCTTCAAAGTATACTATTAAACATTTTTATGAAGTCAACAAACATCAGAATGAGATGCAGTGTGGTGATAGCGATAGTGTAAGGCCTAGGTTTCCTGATTTATTGTAGTCCTCTGGTGTGACATGAACCATGTCATCTCAGCTTCTGGCTATAGCCGTGCTCAGTGCTGTACTGGAGATGCAGAACCTGGTCCTGAGCACTGGTTCACTCGTGTGCAGCAGAGTGCAATGTTTGCACACCCTCCCTCTCACATGCTGGGTGAATGTTGCATCACCAAGCTCCTCATGGGCTTATTCTCAGCAAGACTGTGCTTCCCTTTAGAAGGAGCTTAGATGCCTCTGTGCTACTCAGTGCTGTGCATGGAAGGTATTTACAGGGAAATTAGTGACCTAAATAAGCTCTGTACTTGGAGAGTGACAGTGTTATGAGCTGCCTGGTATTAATGGTAAGAAAATTCAAAAAGCGAGTGACTTTAAAATTTAAGAATTTTAAAATTAATTTTTAAAATTAATTTTTTTATTTCTAGAGTTATAAAATCTTTTACTGTATTTCTGACTTAGCTGCAGTGAAAATGGCTACTACATTTTATGTCATACAAATACAACACATCTGAAAACTTTTTTCAAATTATACTTAGTTTTTCATATGCTTTGCAACTTCAGCAATTTGCATATTTTCTGGACTGTTATTGTATTATGATAAACAGGGATTATCATATATTTTCAGATAATGTTTTCTTAACAATTCAACTTCTATTTGTAACTCTTCCATTTATTTTAATTACTAGCACAGTGTGCAACATTTATTAATCAGCAGAGTCTTTTTAAGTTAAAATACTAAATTAGCTAACCCCATTAACACAGAATACTCCAAACAAGCAGTAATAGGAGAGGTAGTTACTGTGCAAATCGTATTATACATGCGGGTGCTCTAGGGCACAGTTAAGCATGATTACCCTCTTTTGATCCAGTATTCCTCTGCTTCTTCCAGCTAATTTCCACTGGAAATTTACAAAGTAGCGCCTTCATTTTTCCATCTTAATTTTTCTAATGAAGTTCTGGTACTTTATAACACTGGGGATGCAGATAATAAGTCTGTGTATAATTAAGAAGTTCCAGAATTTGCTGCAGAAGAGATCTCTTTTACTTCCTAAAAGAACTAGACTATGCTTTTATTTTCCACTTTACATTATCACAGCCAGGGGTTAAATAAAAACAGCCAGAGGATTCTCAGATTTACTGATGTTACAATAAAAATGATTGATAGTTTATCGAAAAAGTATGTATTTACTATATTACCAGAAACAGTATTTGTAGTAATGCACCCAAATAAGTTTCTTGCGGCAAAAAGAGTGCACTAAAGATAATGTGACTAGATATACTAAGTAAAATGTTACTTTTTTTTTTGTATCTAACACTTTGATTTTAATATGCACTCGTTATAAACTAGATAATGGCTGCCTTGCTGCAATTGTTTTGCTGTGGAAAACCATTATGCTTCTTTCTTTGTTCCCTGAATGAAAAGATAGACACTGTTGGATTTGATGAAAAAATTGCTTCAGGTATAATCCAAATTTGAAAGCTTAAAATTAATTTCATATTTTATGAAAGAAAAAAAAAAAAAGATGAAGTATTCTCAGATTCCTGATAGAGAAACATGGTTTGTTTGGAGCTAATTGTTCATGGAGTTCTTTAAAGCAAGATAAAATTGCTTTATTTGAATTAAATCAAGACAACAAGGAATTGAATTGCTATTGTGTAGAAACACTTTAGATAAAAATTTAAAAGCACTGTCACACAGACAGTTAATATTTTGGTAGTATTTTTACTACTAAATTATAAAAATGTACAATACCAACAAATGTAAAAGTTTGAAAAAACTCATAAGCTGTATTCAGGGTTTTATATTTCTTACTGTACCCTGGTAGTGTAACATGTGTGGCAGTCTAGCAGTAGATCTGAAAGTTCTTTCTCAGAAGCCTGGGTATGTTTTGAAGCATTTCTGGAAACAGGATTACGTGCTTGCACTGCTAGACTGCTGGGATTTTGTCTCTTGGGCAGGTTCAGAGAACACGCTGAAGGACCAACTCTGTTCTTCTGCTGCCCTTTAAATGCAGGAAAAAGTTACTGCCTCTGTACTGTGTCCCACTGGTCCGTACCATGTAGCACTGGGACACTGCTGCCCAGAAGTAAAGGATGGACCTGACAAACCCTCCTCCCTGTTTGTGCTGCTGTGCTCTCCTCTCACATTGCTGTAGACTCTGGAAAGCGATACCTGCTGCTGCTTCTGTCATCTCCGTCAATCCAACTGTAAAGCCTTCAGTGTCAAATGGGCCTCTTCCATCTCCTGTCACAATAGTAAGAGAGATTGCAGTAGAAGAGACAGAATAGAGGGAAGAAATGGTAGGTGAGGAATGCAGGGAGAAAAATCACGGAAGGGACATGTAAACATGTTGGGGGGAAAAAGGATTAGAAAGATGAAAGTAATAGTAGAAGGAAGGTGCAGGATAGGATTAGTGAAAGGAGAAATAAAGCAATTTTTGGTTTTGTTAATAACAAATATGGAGGGTGTCTTTGAAATCTAAATACACATGGCTAGCAGCTGTCAGGTCCTCAACTGGCTACTAAGTGAAGGCTTCTAGATCTTTTTACGCTAATTAGGTTCAATGTAGTGTGATCCTGGCAAGAGTGCAGCTGGCCTTCGTTAGCAGTGACACTGCCAGCCTTGGTCCTGGTCCTCCTCCTTCAGGTTGTATATGTGTAATACTGCAATTTGTAGAACCTGAGATAGTTTCCCTTTTTTGGTTCCAACTCTTTCCCCCTGTTTTGAATGTATTCTTTGGCATATATCTCATTTAGGCTGTTGTGGTATTTAAAAATAAAATAATTTTTAATTTTTAAATTTATTTCTCCAGGGAAAGTTCACCTCGCACTGAATCATCAAATTTTGGGAAGGCTTAGCTTATACTGACTATGTTTTATGGCATGATAAAATATCAGTGTAGAATTTAATTTTTCTTTGATCCTGTTACTTCTGTCTCTGTCATGTGTAATGAAAATCTGTAAAAATTTCTGAATTTTCACCTAAATCACAGGGAAAAGCTGAAACTCGAAGGAATAATGAGTGAACTTCTGTAGGAAAGAAAACTATTGAAATCTAAATTTGTGCAGTTGATAATGGTATCATAACACTGTCTGGATTTAATTTTCTTCTTCTTCTTCCATCACTCTCTTGTGTCACACTCAGAGCACATACTGTCATTAATTTTGGGAAAAGCTGTGTCAGGTTTACACACAGAGCAAGAGAACATAATGCCATTATTGAAGTGTTTTGCAGTGCTATTACTCTTTACTATTTTTATTGGTTGTGGGGGTATAATGACTTTTGTATGACTCCCCTTAATTTGGTTACCCTGCTTAACATGAAAAATTGTTTACATTTTTTTAATTAATTATTCACATAGAGTAATGAAAATTCTCACTTACTTTAAACAGACACTGAATTTACAAGCATATGATCCTTTCTTGTAGTTAGAGCATTATTGCTGTAAGGATCTTCCCACCTGACTGACAGCAGAATTATAAACAGAAGAAAAAGCTTCTACTTGTTACCATTACACCCTATGATATTTTTAATGGGGTTTTTTAATGTAAATTTTAATATTTTTTTATTGTTCAGTTTCCTTCCTTTAATTCCTTTAATTTTTTTTTTTTTTTAAACTCAGCCACAGGCATACATTCCAGGCTGTGTGGCACATATTCCAGTTAATGATCTTAGAGGAGATATGCAAAAGAATGCAAAAGGGTGTTTTTGTGCTAAAATAAACGTAGAACATACTGTTACTTTTATCTCAAAGTGCTAATATGTGTACTTTTTTGTTCAGAATCATAGTAGAACATATATTACTCTATTTGTTTGCCAAAAAGACAAAGATTAACTGATCCACAGTAAAATCAAAACCTCTATGTATAATATAATAATTTACTTCTACTTTCTTCAAAATTTTTTACTATTTTGTGTGTAAATTTTACAGACATGGTTTTCATATTAAATTATGAATGCTATGGCTCAACTAAATTCTATGCATATATGGGCAAATCCCTAAACTGCAAGCCTTGTCTTCTGAGCTATCCAATCCCCTGAGAAAGCCAATTTTCTTTCATGTCTGAACAAAAGAAAAATGTACTATTAAAATGCAATTCAGAAGTGATAAAAACTGCAAGTGGAGCAGCCGGCTCACAGCACCTTCAATGTATTCTCTGGGACACTGGGGCCACATTAATTTCTGTGTGTGTGTGATGTCCATCCCATGTGCAAATTAGCATTACAAGTACCGTAATCTGTCTTATGTGAGGGTGTCATTTCCCATGGGTATACACATGCTACTGTAGCTTTGTATTATTTAGAAGTCTGCTAACTCAGTGTTTTCCTTTCACTAACTTTACACAATATTTTTTTGTGGCACTTGATAGAATAAATTGATACAGCTGATAAAATTCTAAATAGTTTCTTTTTATGAACTACAAAGAAAGAAATGTAATTTAAGAAAACAGTCAAACAATTGCTGATGAATCAATTAGTAAAAATGAATAATTTTCTGAATCTGTATCAGCTGAGAGACAAAGAAAGTTATTTTAATCCGCATCTTTATCAAGAACTTGGTTGACTGCCTGACTCTTACAGGGACTCTGGATTCTGAAAAGCTTTCACCTGGGGAAAGGTTCTAATTAACTACACCCATTGTCATGGCAGTTAAAATGATATTTTAACTTCTGAATCATATATTTCTAATTTTACTATATAATATTTTTTCCTGTACTTCTAGAATAAAGAATGCACGTTGTTTTTTGAGAACACCAGCAACGATAGGCTTAATTCACAATGTTTTACTTTATAGTAAAATGTACTTCTTTGCTCTTATGACCCTCTTGCAAACTGAAATAGATGGAACTAAGATGTCTTTGTAGGGTGTCTTGCAGATCCTTTATATGTAAAACATTTTTCACTTTGCTTCATGCAGTTTGCTCTGGAACCTACCCAGAAAACCTGTAGTTGTCTATGACACTTAGAGATATCCATCTGAAAACCTCTTCCAGCAGGTAGCTGGAGCTTCACTGTTCACTGGCACTGTATAAGCAGGGAGTCCATCATCAGTATGACCAAAGATGAAAGAATCCAGCTCCAAATGACTGCTGATTATTTCATAATTATAACTTAAGAGTAAAGTACATGATTTGAGAATTCTTGGCTTTGTGGTCTGCCAATATGTGACAGACAATGTGAAGGTTTCTGCTAAATGAGTGAATTCTGCTAAATTTTAAATTCTAAGTTAGAATTGTTAGATTTTGCTAAATATGGTTTATTTATCTTTGGTTAACAGATATCAAAAGGTGCATTCCTGGTTTAAGGTACTGGGAGGATTCTTTATGCCTCGGTTTATGCTTATACTGCTGGCATGCTTGAAATATTTCTGTCCTGAGGGAATGATCAGGTTAAGGCTGTGCATTGGGAGCCTACATGACTTGCAAAGTGGATGCCAAGTTCTCCAAAAGTGATATCTATCCTTGTGCATGGTGAGTGCCTGCCACTGACAGCTGGCACAGGCGGCACTGCCTGCTAAGGTATGAGGGATCAAGATGCAGATCCCGGCAAACTGAACCCTGATTGTTCTTCACATCACACCAGTTGTTAGTGCAGATAAAAAATAATAATCTAGTAATGAAAGTGAACCAAGTTAGATCTTTGTACAGAAAGTCTTCATTTTATCTTATTGAAACTCTATATCTCTTTGCTCCCAATTGAACTTGAAAGAAGCCACAGGAGAAATTGCAGTAATCCTCTCACAATACCAAGGGGAAACATTAAGAAGGGAGTGAAAAATAGCAGGAATGTGTCTCCATGTCACCTCTTACAGTGTTGTTATCCATTATTTACATCCATCCTGTGGCATCTAGAGAAGAGCATAACTGATTTTTAAAATATTCTTGTATTTCAGATTCCTGCCATTTTCTTCATATCATAAAAATGAGGATGAGAAGTATGAGCCATCACTTTGTAAGTCAGGCAAATATGTCCAAGAAGCTTATGGAACCAAACATTTCAGAGAAGTATATCCTAAGAAGTGGATAGCAGACAAGGTAAATCACTGCAAAAAATCAAAGAATTATTTACTTTTTTAGATGGCTGTTTTATTAGAGCTAAGTGAATTTGAGTCTGATCCAGAGATCACAGAATCCAATGGATTCTTTCTAGCATGTTTTAACATCACATAGAGCTGATGTGATGGGATGTCAGATTTCCTTGACTTTCTGGTAAGTTCAGTTTGAGGAAATCTAACACATGTTCTGCCTACAAGATCAAGACTTAAGAGCCTGATTAAGTACAGCTTCAGTTATGTACATTTTGCTAAATTTTGTTCTATTTGTATTACCTTTTATGATTTAAGAGAGATTGTGTATTTACTCTTGGACATTAAGATAAAGCTTCAGGAAATTATGGAAAAACCAGACTAAAATAACAAAGTATTTCGCTGCTTACAGTCTTTGAAAAAATCTTGAAACTGGTGAATAGCTGTTTTTCTTTTAAGATCATCTCATTAATTTGCCTGCTTTGTCAGGAGCATCTCATATATTTCTGGTTTTGTAGTGCTGCAAGAGATAATTTTTCTCAGAACATGTTCTAACGTGACTTTGTGTAGTGTTTTGCACTGTGCCTATTTGCATTAGGTATCATAATCACATTAAAATTTCCAAGTACAAGAAAGGTAATGGACTTTGTGGCTCGGTGCTGCACTCTCTGCCAAGATAGTTAAGGGAACTGCAGCATCTTTTGTAGGAGGAGAGGCTGAGACAGCTGGAACTCTTCAGTCTGGAAAGAGAAGGCTCAGGGGAAATCTTTTTAAAATGTATAAACACCTGATAGGAGGGAAAGAAGAAGAGGGAGCCCAGCTTCTTTCAGACTAAGTAGTGTCCAGTGACAGGACAAGAGGCAATGGACACAAGTGAAGTGCATGAAATTCCAGCTGAACACAAGAAAACACTATTTAAATTTTATTTTTCTGTGAGGGTGACAGAGCACTGGCACAGGTTGCCCAAAGAGGTTGCAGAATCTCTGTTCTTGGACATATGCACAGTCCTAGGCAATCTGCTCTAGCTGACTAGGGGAGCTGTAGGAGGATGATCTCAAAAGGTCTCTTCCATTCTCTACAATTCTGGTATTTTGTGAGATACGATTACGTATTTCGTGGAAGTAGCTTAGCCCTAGCAAATTCCAAGGAATCTTATTTTGAGAAGGAATATTTTTTTATAAGGAATTATTCCTCTAAATTTGAAGCTTTAAAAATGAGCTCAGAGTAAAATTTTGGTATTTTAACGTACATTAATTATATCTCATGGCATATAAAACATAGAGGTCAACATTCAAACAAAAAGATCTGAATTTGTCTTTCAAAAGCAATGAGTGGAAGATATGACTGGCTGAAGTCCTACAGCATAAGTGTGATATATAAAAAGGACCTAAATGTCTTATTGCTGGTACTCCTCTTGTCCTGTAAAGACTTCCTTTTCCAGTCCTTAGCATCTTGATCAGGCTCAGATGACGATATAAAAAAAAGTAAAGATATTTATACTGTGTATCATGTGACACATATATAAATTATGGGTTTCTTTAAAAGAACTAAACTCACTTTACTTGTGATCTTGGATAGATATCAACCTAAATCTCTGGAGGTGAATAGCTGTATACATTAACCCAACATGACATACAGCCTTCCAACCCCAATTCTAAATCAATATGAAGCTTCCATTAGGAGCAGCTTACCCAAACAGAGAGATAAGAGGAGAAAAGAGCTATTTATGACCTACCTGCTGCTTTAATGGCTCATTATTATCTGGGAAAAAACTAAAAAGAACACCGAAACTTCCATGTCCTCACTGCAATTTAATGGAAAAAGACCTATAGGCAGGTGTGAGGTCATACTTTCATAACTGTTAAATTTGATAGAACTCTGTTTTCTTATTTCTAAACTATATGAAAACTTTTAATATATCATTGGTATAAACAAAATTATCCTGTTCTAATGAATCACAAGGCTAAAGGGCATGTAACAAAATATTAGAAAAAAATAGATTTTTACTTAAAGCACTTTGCTTAACACAAAGGAGGGTTCCATTTGCTGGAACTTTCCTTTGAGTTTCCCATGAGGTGATGTTTTGTACATCCAACTTCTGTTACAGCATGTGTAGCTGATAACCCTGCCATGATCTATATTCAGCTTCTGACACTCTTGTGCTAGACAAGGTTCCCTTATTATTGCTGTCAAAACTATGTAAGTTCTTCCAAGGAGTCAGTTCAGTGGTAGAAGATCAGTGACCCCTCTGAGCTGTTGAGGTATTATTTGGTGTTAGCTGATATTAGGTGGCTTTTTAAAAAATTTCATGTGAAAAGGCCCAGTGTATGTTCATGAGCATGCCCTAGCTGTATTTTCCTGAGGTTTTCATGTGTTTAAGTATGCATTTTAATTCAAGTCACAAAAAGATTAGTATGTAAATTAAATAATTACTTTAGAAGCAAAATGAACAACATTGAAAAATATTGCCTTGTTATATTTTCTTTGGAAAAGGAAAGAGTATTAGCACAGACTTCCTCTAAACATACTAATTACCATATTTATGTGAAGAAAAGTTAATAGTTCTTTTTTTTATCCAGTTATAATCTGAAAATTTTTATCTCATTTTGTTTACATTTCAAAGAAGTTTGATTTGAGGGAAAAACTGTTCTATTCTAATTGTTCATTCCAAATAAACAAGAAATAAAAATACCTCTAATGAAACTGAATCTAGTTAGTTTACTCAGTAAATCACTATAAAAAATGAAATTGCTTACATATTTTAAGTTTTACATTGTATGTCTAAATACATTGAAATGCCTTTGATAGAATTTATGTGAGATGTTTCAATATAAAAAATTTACCAGTCATGAATTTAAACTACAATGATATGTTCCAATGTAGCTGAACAGTCAAGGGATGAAATACACTAACTATAATCTTCCAGTTGTCAAAACACTCACATATGTTCATATTTACTGAAGCAGAAATGGTAGCTTACAGTCTTTAATCAGTATTGGAATTAGTTTGCATATGCATTTTAGAAAACTGACTTTAATGACAGCATTTAATGCTTTTTATTTATAAAGTTCAGGAAGTGATATTTTAAGGTGTTCCATTCTGATAGATTCTTCCCTCTGATGCCTTATTATAGGTGAATTACAGTACAACTGAATCACTGTTTCATTATTTGCACAGGCATTTTGGCCCTAAACAGTATTTTATTATCTACAAAGCATAAAAATACCCAGGACTGCAAAGAATTAATTTAGAGAACCTAAGCATATTGCACAGAACATAAAGTTGACCTTTACCGTCTACAGCTCTTGGAATGGAGTGGGATGTGGAACACATCATAGATTTAATGTGGCACAACGCTGTCTGCAGAAACTTGGGTGGGACTGTGACTGCCTGCCCATTGCACCCGATGATTGAATCTGCTGTCACCAGCATCCTGATAATAATGAACATTCAGCTTAACGACCGTGATTATGATTATCATAATTGATGTGCAAGTGCAGTGTGTGGGGATCATTACAGCTGAACTGTACAGCAGAGAAACATGCCTTAGTTATGGATAATTTTACCTTTATGCATTGATTGGGATAAAATATGCCTTTCAAATTCAACAGGCCAACTTGATAAAATTTTAAGATTTCTACATGTATGAGTTGATGTTTATGAGCTTCCTTCAAAACAGCCTCCTTGCTGTTTGTTTTGAATTGTTTCATTCCATTAATAACAGGAAATAGTTAAATAATTAGACCTTGTTGAGTGGAAATCACTTAGAGAGTACTGACAGTGTTAATCAAATATCAGCTTCGATATTTCTGATTGTCATGGTCTTGCCTAGGCTAGGAAAAATAGCCCTTGTAATTCATCACCAACACAATTCTACTTTTGGTGGAGCAGTCGAAATAGGGCTGTGGTCAACACTACTGACATTTTCACACTGCACTATGTAGAGCAGGCAATAGTTGTTCCATATATAAATTATATCACTACCATCTTTGTCACCAGAGGTAGAGAATTACAGGCTCAAATTCAGCCAATGTAGATAAAGGTGCAATTAACAGCTTCAGTCAATTTTGTTGAACAGTGATTACGTTCAATTGCCTTTACATGAAGTTGCAGAAGTATTTAATTAAATTATGACATATATAGCAGATAAACACAAGAATGTGTATATATTTTAAGCCATAGTTTATATAAAGAATATTACAACATAAAGTAATGAAAAGTATAGAGTTTCCTTGGTTTACACTAGGTGTAAATTTGGCTCTTTGTCCAAGAACTGACAGATTTGCAGTCTGGGATAATAGAGAAAACAGGCGATAGAAAAAAAAATCCTTGTGGGTGGGGAAAGTGACTTCTTCTGTTTGAAAATTAGTTTGATCTCTTTGAGGAGCACAATATACAACAGCCATGTGTCTAGTGGATGATGTCATTGGACGATGTCATTGTGTGAGGGAATTTTTAATACATTGTTCATACTTTTCCATCCCTGACTGTATCGAAATTTATTTAAATTTCACCATAACTCAATTTTTTCTAACCCTCCAGTGATTGGACTTGAGAATAGGAATAATGTATGTGCGAAGTTTTAAATTCTTTCTTGTTCAGACTGTGCTTGTTTTCGTTTTAATTAGGAAAAAAAGATTATCCAAGAACATTTTCTAAGTCAGTGTGATATTGGCTAATGAATGTGCATCTGTATTATCAGCTTTATTACCTTTTAAAGGCTATATTTACTAGTATGCTTTGTGGCAGAACTAAGTTACTGACATACAATAGAAGAGCTAGCACGTGTTTTGAATATCAGATTCTTAGCTCCCCAGTCCAACCTCAGTATGTTTTCGTAGGCAATGCAGAGCTTACATAATGTGGCAGCCAGAAGGGAATTATTAGATGAGCTGTAAGAGTTTGCTTGTTACAGTACCGGTTTCCTCATGAGCCATGTCATGGATAATAAGGATTGTTGCCAAGTGTGTTGCACTCCAGCAATCCCCGGCCAATGACATGGCTCCTGTA